CGTGCTCTTCATGGGGTCATTAAACCTTAACGGCCCTGGACTGACGGGTTGTGGTTGGTGGTCTTGGAGCCTGAACTACACCCGTTCAGCCGTCACCAGACACACAGACACACACAGACACAAATCCACGTGCTCATGTCGTGATTGATACGAAAGAAAAGTGTATATTTTCGCTTTTCGATGTGATTATTGATGGCATGTGGGAAAAAAGTGGCAGCGCCAGCTCGGAGCACTTGCACAATGAATCCCACCTCCGAGGGTGTCTGTTGAGGGGCCCAGCTTCACTCGATAGGGGGGGGCGATGCCTCGTGGGTTGTGTCCGCCCAAAAGTGGTAGTGAAGCTGAATAGCGGCAGAACAGCCCAAATCAACCCTATTCTTGCGGTGAGATTGAGCGTCGAAAGTCTTCGTCCGAAGCAAAGACTGCCCAAAAGGCCAAAACTTGTGGTACGTAAGACTGACAGAGTGCACTGATGATACCGACGAAACAAACGACCGTTGGACTCAGTTGACGAGATGAATGGACTCTATTTTCGTCCAACTTGACGAAGTACCCGATGTTGAATCGGCCCACAATCCTTTCACTCAACGCCACATTGTCTTGCTCGCCAAAAGACATTCCAATCCAAGCAGGAGGCGACTGCACTTTCGACCTTCTTCAACTCGCCTCATTAGTGCCCCAGCGGGACTTGAACCCAGTGCCGTTCACTCCTACTCTTGCGATTGTGGTCAGATTCGACCAACAGTCATTCAGCACCTTGAAGGAAATTGTGTGAATCTGGCTGTTTTGTTGAAGCCACACCTCGTTTCGGCCAAATTTCACACATTCCCTCCTCCTATGCACACCACCTCTGCTGTGTGGATGAGCAGCTATGCTCCACATAGTCTTTACCAAATGAGCACACAACCTTGTCACACCAATGCAGACATACACACACAAACAAATGTCAATATCATACATTTAAGCGTTTGGGCCTGCATCAGCCTGCTCCATCTTCCAGCATGAACCAATCAACCGAATCATGGAAGGTCTCATTGGGATTGCAAAATCACTTCGAAGAAGTCAGTTCAAGTGTGGATACGAAGAGAAACTGGATTTCGATAGAAGTGGGTTGACCTCGTTGTCGCAACTTTCGTCTTGTTGTCATGGCAACTTCTACAACATTTTGGGGCTTGGCACAAAAGGGAACAGGGAATAGAGAAAATACCAGTCAAAAGTGGGTTGACTTCGTTGTCGCAACTTGTTCTTGTTGTCAGGGCGACTATGTAGAAGGCACCTAGTCCGAAGTCGTCTGCCATGTTAGTTGTCATGATTCCCAGCATCTGACAGTGGACTTAGTACATTCTCAAACGTTTCGACAATTCTCCAGAGATAGCATTGTTGGGTGAAGACTTTTGTTTCGCACAAGAGTGCATGAAGAAGCCATTCCAAGATCGATGTTACCAGAAGACGACGGTTGAAGTCCGTTGAACTGCAGCCGTTTGGCGTTACTACGACCTTCATGTTCCCGCAGTCCACGAGACGGACTGACCTCTCGTTCATCAATTTGACGGACATTCTCCCAGCTGCAACTCATTCCGGTCAAAGTCTCAATTTAACAATTAAGAAAAAGCATACTATCCAACTCTGTCTCACGTCCTACAAATTATCACAAGTAGAAAGCGAAAATATATTGCTACTTTTACTCGAGTGTATGTGTGTGTGTGTGTGTGTAGCAGGCCACAAGTGTCGTCACTCCATGAAACTCCTCACGAATTCCATTCAACCTATCTTTCCTTCGAATTGGAAAGTCGTATTGCAATACGTCACTAAATCGGTCTTGAAAGCGCAGTTTTTCTTCATGTACTTGTCGGATCCTGTCAAATGTCGTCTGGTAGAGCAAGGCCTCGACGCACGTCTCGATTCTGTCCTCTCAGCAGAGCTCCGTCTTGGAGATGTCTCGAGCGGCGGACTTCCAAGGCACTAAAGGCAGCAGGCAGAGTAGAAGCTGCGTGCATCTTTTTTCCCCGAATTCGACGCATTCGCGACGTACAACGTCTGCTCGCACTCGATGCCAATTATGCTCAGATTGAATAAGAATTGGGGACTTTCAGTAAATTTTGAATAAAAGTTATGAGCAGCTGAGGTCGTTTAAGGCGATGAAGGACAGATGGGGAATACTTTCATGACGAGACGAGTACTACTTGAGTCAGTTTTAAGTAGCATTTCGAGGCTAACAGTAGAACTTGAATTAGATCTTTCCTTTGTGGTGATGAAGGACTGTGGCGGCCTCTTTCCAGAACCAGATGATTAGGTCTCATCATTCAACTGAGGAGTTGAGGTCGTTTAGGCCGATGAAGGACAGATGGGGAATACTTTCATGACGAGGCGAGTACTACTTGAGTCCGTTATGAGTAGCATTTCAAGGCTAACATTCGGACTTGAATTAGATCTTTCGTTAAAGGTGGTTAAGGACTGTGGCGGCATCTTTCCAGAATCGGATGATTAGGTCTCATTATTCAACTGAATTTCCCTAATCCCTACTTCTAAAGCAAATGTTCATTCAGGCCGGTCTGAGCAGCACTTTTGGCCTATTCATCTGATTGTGACAATCTTCACTTTCATTTCGTGCTCAATTTAGGACCCTTTTGGATGATATAATTCAAGAAATCATCTCAACTGCCGTTACCAGACAACATAACTTCCGCGACAACCAACAATTCTACCGGCCTCCATGCCCGACAGGCCGGTGCGCGCTCTCTCTCTCTCTCTCAGCCACGATGTCTCGTTTGCCACGAGGCAGATGGGAAATGAAATACAGAATGCACTCACCGAATGATACTGCTTTGGCCTCGTCGTTAACTGGAAATACCGGTCGAGTCTAATATA